GCAAGAAGCTGAAACCTTTTCCCCTATGATCGGGAGCAAGACAAGGATGCCCACTCTCCGCACTGTTATTCAACATAGTACTGGAGGTCCTGGCCACGGCAATTAGACAACACAAAGAAACAAAAGGCATCCAGATTGGTAAGGAAGAAGTCAAACTGTCACTGTTTGCAGATGACATGATACTGTACATAAAAAACCCTAAAGAATCCACTCCAAAACTACTAGAACTAATATCTGAATTCAGCAAAGTTGCAGGATACAAAATTAATACACAGAAATCAGTTGCATTCCTATACACTAATGATGAACTAGCAGAAAGAGAAATCAGGAAAACAATTCCATTCACAATTGCATCAAAAAGAATAAAATACCTAGGAATAAACCTAACCAAGGAAGTGAAAGACCTATACACTGAAAACTACAAGACACTCCTAAGAGAAAGGGGAACCCTCCTACACTGCTGGTGGGAATGTAAACTAGTTCAACCATTGTGGAAAGCAGTATGGAGGTTCCTCACAAACTAAAAATACAAATACCATTTGACCCAGGAATTCCACTCCTAGGAATTTACCTTAAGAATGCAGGAGTCCAGTTTGAAAAAGACATGCACCCCTAAGTTTATCACAGCACTATTTACAATACCCAAGAAATGGAAGCAACCTAAGTGTCCATCAGTAGATGAATGGATAAAGAAGAGGCGGTACATATACACAATGGGATATTACTCAGCCATAAGAAGAAAACAAATCCTACCATTTGCAACAACATGGATGGAGCTAGAGGGTATTATGCTCAATGAAATAAGTTAGGCAGAGAAAGACAAATACCGAATGATTTCCCTCATTTGCGGAGTATAACAACAAAGCAAAACTGAAGGAACGAAGTAGCAGCGGACTCAGAGACTCCAAGAAGGCACTAGGGGTTACCAAAGAGGTGGGGTTGGGGAGGGCAGATGGGGAGGGAGGGAGAAGGGGATTGAGGGGTATCATGATTGGTGCACATGGTGTGGGGGGGTCACGGGGAAGACAGTGTAGCTCAGAGAAGACAAATAGGGACTCTGAAGCATCTTAATATGCTGATGGACAGTGACTGCAATGGGGTGTGGGGAGGACTCGATAATAACGGTGAATATAATAACCACATTGTTTTTCTTGTGAAACTTTTGTAAGAGTGATACCTTATTAAAATTTTTTTTTCTTTCAACAATATTGTATAGGTTTTCAAAGTATACGTTTTGCATTTCTTTTGTTAACTTTATTCCTAACTATTTTATTCTTTTTGATGTTATTCTAAATGGAATAGATTTATTTCATTTTCAGTTTTTCAGTGCACAGAAATACAATTGATTTCTGAAATACTGATCTAGTACCTTATAACCTTGCTGAACTCTTTTATCCTTCCTAATAGATTCTGGTTGGCTTCTCAGGATTCTCTGTATGTGAGGTCATGTGGTTCGGATATAGATCGTTTCACTTCTTCCTTCGCAAACTGGGCGCCTCTTCTTCCATTTTTGGGCCTGACTGGCCTGGCTAACGTCCTGCGCTGCCGCAGTTTGATCATGACGCTCCTTGATGGGGTTTTCTTCATGCTTGAATGTCGCTGAGGTTCTTGGATATGTGGGTTTATAGTTTGCATCAAGACTGGAAAAATTCCAGCCATTATTTCTTCAATTTTTTCTTGTTTTTTATTTCTTCCTCTCCTTCTGGGATTCCAGTTACATGCATATTAGGCCACTCGAAGTTCTCCTACAGCTCACTAATGCTTCTTTATATTTTTTTCTCCAGTTTTTCAATATCTGTTTTATTTTGAATAGTTTTTAATTATATGGTTGCTGTTCACTAGCATTTTCCTTTTTAGTGTCTGACCTGCCATTACTTCCCTCCAATGCATTTCTCACATCAGACATTATAATTTCAGCTCTAGAAGTTCATTGGGTTTTTTCATACCATCAATATTTCTAACACATTCAATCCTTCCCCCGCTTCTTGAACATATGAAGTGCAGCAATAGTAATTGTTTTTATGTCCTTGTTGAGTAATTCTATCATCTGTGACATTTCTGAGTTGCTTTCAGTTGATTGATTTTTCTCCTCATTATGGGTATTTTCCCATTTCTTTGTATGCCTGGTGACTATTTACTGGATGCGAGACATTGTAAATTTTAACACGTTGGGTGCTGGATATTTTTGTACTCCTCCAAGTATTCCCAGGAAAAGACTGGCCAAAGATCTCCAACTCTAAGTGGGCAGACTGGTTGTCTCAGTTCCAGGGACGTCACCCTCACCTCTCGATCCAGCAGACCACATTCCCAAGGAAGTATTCATGGAGCTTTCTCTTTTCCTAGAACTGAATTGGACAAGGAAATTGCACATGCACGCCACCAGCTGATGTCCTGTCCCACCTTGGCATTTCATTCAGAGCCAGTGTCCTCCTGCTCCACGTAGAGGAAGAACCTTGGCCGGGGCCTGCACCCTCGAGAGACAATGAGAAGGGAGGGTCAGGAGTCGGGGGTGCTCAGGCTGGTGCCCCCAGCCCTGTTTGGCACAGACCATGGTCATCTCATAAGTGGCATGGGGGCTAAGAGAGGACAGTGGCACCTCCTCACACCTGGGGCTGCTGAGCTCCCACTTACTGTGCTAGGCAGGGCAAAGGTGGGGTGTTGTGGGGAAACCCAGGTGAGGGGAAGAGTGGAGTTGGGGAAGCCCTCCTCCCCACCAGCCTCTGTTAGGCACAACTGCTACAGGGAAGCTCACCCTCTGGGCCCACACTGCAGGTAAGAATGGGAGGGCAGGAAGTGGGAAGTGCCTGCTAGCTCAGGTGTGTGCACCTCCCTTTCTGCAAGTGCGTTCAGGGGTCGATGAAGGCTAAGCACAGGCTGACCTTTTACTCTTCGCTGAGCCCCCAGCCCCCCACAGTGGGAGCCAGAAGGTAAGCCCAAAGACACCCGGAGGCAGCTGGCAGTCAGGTGCTTTTTAGTAGCGATGGATACAGGACTGCAGAAAGCATGCGTGCTCACCACCCCAGAGAGGGACAGTGTAGCCCGTGTGTCTGCACTGCAAGCAGCCAGGCCCACCAAGGGTGGGGGGCACTGTGGGTCTCAGCATGAAGCGCCTCCCACACCTGTCCTTGTGTGAAGTCTGGGGTCTGTGAATCCCCAACCCTATGCCCTGAACCAGGGTGCCCCATTTGTTACTGCCACAGAAATGACCCTCAGCCCTGCCCAGACACCCCAGGGTTTGATGAGTAACAGAAGAAATTTGCTGCTCTGTTTCTTTCTCAGGATACTCTGGGAGTATGTCAATTAAGGCTGCCTGCCCTGACCCCAAGGTGGGCTGGACTGTTGCCTGTTTGTTAAAATGTGTTAAGAATCTTACCTCTTAATTTCTTGGGCTGTTTATAGTTGGGCTTGCTTACTAAATTAGTCTTTTCCCTAGGTTGCAGATTACTTGATTAAGATCACAGAAGGAAATACAGCACATAGGTACAGTTAAAAATAAGCTGGGCCTTTAAGCAGGTGAAGGTAAAGTTTACAGTGTCATGATCTAATTGATACAGTGAAGTCACGGGTTGTGCTGAGATACTTTTCTTTATCTGCGGAACACTCAAACATTCCAGGCCAAGTTGCTGCTGGCCTTTTGAGCTTTAACTGATCTCACTGAAGATGTCTATATTCCTAGTCTGGTATCTTTACCCTAGAGAATTAGTGTGGCTCTGACGTTGTGTAATGCGTAGCACAGAGTTTGGACAGGGACTTCTTTGCACATGGTTACATTGTTCTGACTGTGATTATCTGCTCTGCTTTTTCTCTGGAGGAGGCCCTCACCCTACTCTGACTACACCCACGGTCCCGGTCTCACTCACGCCCCACCCAGCCTCTTCCACAATCCCATCATCACAAGGGCAAGTGGTGGTGACCCCTGGTGTTCATGGGCACGTCACCTGTTTATGCTACCATTATTTATATTTATTTTAAATTTTACATAATATGTATTATTATTTATTGCTGCATAACAAATAACCTTAGATTCAGCAGCTTAAAACGACAAACATTTATTCTCTCACAGTTTCTGAGGGGCAGGAATACAGGAGCTGCTCAGTGGGGGTTCTGATTGAGGTCTCATCAAGCGGCTGTCAAGATGTTGGCGGCAGCTGGGAGACTGTCTGAGGGCTCAGGGGCTAGAGGGTCCACTTCTGAACTCGCCCTCACTGCCGTTGGTGGGGGCATCAGGTCCGCAGCAAAGGACCGCTGGCCTCCCCCGGAGTGAGGGGGCAGCAGGGAGCCTAGCAGAGCCATTCCATCAGCTCTGCTGAGTCCTGTCGCTCACCCAGGCCAACCCTGCCCCACCATGAGACTGAATACCAGGAGGAGGCTCTTGGGGGCCTGCTGGGAGGCTGTCAACCCACAGCCCGTTTCCTTCTGAAGCCTGGAGGTAATCGGGCCCCCACAGGAGCTTTTGTGGGGTTGCTAAGGCCTCACCCTGACAAGCCAGGGTGCCAAGCAGCCCCAGGCCCAACCCCACCCTGGACTTCAAAGTGACTGGAGTTACAAGGGCCTGGCCAGGCTCACTTCTGTCACCACAGGGCCAATTCTTTCTCCAGATTTCAAACACCTCTGATTTGCTGTCATTATGTGGTCCCAATCCTGGCCCCACTGGCAGACAGACAGACAGACCCATAAGCACAGGGTTGCAACACCCCCAGAAGCAGGCAGATCAGCTGACCATGTACATTAATTCAGCAAACCTTCACTGGCACTGTCCTCACCACGAACTGGGTATTAGAAGACTCCCCACCCCTGGGGTCAGGGTGGCCAGCAGGCCTTCCAGCCACCCCTTCCCCCAGGAAGTCCTGATCACACCCTACCCTTCGCAGAGCCTTGCAGGAGAAGGTGTTCCATCTATTATTCAGCAGGAAGTGTCTGCAAGACAAAAGCCAAGATAAAAATAGCCGAGCCTGGGGGCTGGGCAGGGGGACAGGAGAATAACTCAGAGCCTATCTGGTGGGGGGGGGCAGAAATGGAAGAGTGGGGAGAGGGGGAAGGAGGACGAGACCCCTGGTGTGAGGGGGAAGCATCCTACACTTTGGGCTACAAATCCTACCTTGGGGCCTATGGAAGAGCATTGAGAGGGTCTCCTGGACTAGGCAGGCGTCCAGGCTGGGCATGGGGATGGGGTGGTCCCTTCCACAGCTGGAGGCAAGGATGGTATTCCTGAGACCCAGATGCCCTCACCACTGAGAAGGGGCAGCCTGGAGTCTGCAGCCCTGGGCCACTGGGCTCCCCCTCAGCCTAGATGTGCTTCCTCAGGCCCTCTGACCCAGGGTGATACCCTTCCCCAACCCCCACTGCTGTGTCTTTCATTCAGATCAATTGATTAGGTCAGTGTGAACTGAGCTGTTACAAACGGGTGCTGGGGACACAGGGGGGTGGCACAGACGGGGCCCTGGCCTCTGAAGCCCAAAAAGCCTGAGGTGGCCGCCTCAGGTGTGAAACTGGGGAGAGAATTCCACTGGAGACACTGAGTACAAGGGACCAGACAGGAGGGAGCCTGCCTGGGGAACAGCACGTGGTCCCCCACAGAGGCTGAGGGTCCTGGTAAGTCCTTGCTTGAAAGATCCCTGTAGCAACCGTGCTGAGAAGAGATCACAGGAAGTAAAGGGCGGGGGGCAGGAGGGCAAGGAGGGGCCAGGAGGCGGGGAGTGTGGCCTGGGATTGTCCTGCCCTCTCGTGGGAGGGGGAAGTGTGGTGACCTAAGTACCAGGTGATTTCCCCAGACAGCTGCCCCCCCCAGGCCCCCTGGCCACACAGGCAGGCAAGTCCCTTCCCCACATCCTGTGGGGGCCCAGCTCCCAGCAGGCCCTGACCACGCCCCTGCTCACCCACCCAGCTTCACATCCCAACCCCCTTCTCTTTTGCACCGGTGTCCCTGGAGCAGCTCCCCCGACCTAGCTGAAATTCCAGCTGCAACAAGACCCTCTGTAACTCTGCTGCCCAAGGGGGCCCCCCCTCATTGTCCAGTCCTGCTGGTGCCCCAGGCCCTGGATGCTCCAGGAGATGGAAAAGGCAGCCAGAAAGCAGAAAGCAGTAAGTGGGGGGTGGGGGTACAGAGGTGACTGGTGTGGGGGGGACTTGGAGGTCCCTGCCAGGTAAGCGTGGCTGAGACCAGGAGGGCCCAGGGAAACCCTGCCTGGGCCCAGACAAGGAGGTAGACGAGGAGCTTCTGTCAGGGACTCCCTCTTCCTCTTTGAAGGGCCCTGGCAAGGCAGGCAGCAGACGGCATCTGACGAACTCAGCTGCGGTTGGAAAATGGATCTTGACTAGGATGGGGTGCTCGGCTCTCCACAGGTGACTCAGGCCACCCCCCACTGCACCTGGAATGGAGCCCCAGCAGCTTGGGGGGCCCGGGACTGCAGGACAGTGACTCTGACTCAGGTGTGATGTCCGGCGCAGCCTACACACTGCCTAGGACTGAAGGGCGAGCACACAACAGGTGCCTGGGAAAGATGCCCAGGCAAGATGAACCCCCAGGCCACTCCAGCTAGGTGGAGACCTCTCCTCCCAGGCCAGTGCAGGGCACACGGCAGAGTGGACCTAGCTGGACGGGCACCCGGGAGCCCCAGCACTCAATGCCTCTTGCCAGCCGTGCCCCAGTTCCCCACTCCAGGTTCTCAGGCGCCCTCTTCTGCTGGCACCCCTCTCCTGGGCAGACACTGGCCTGGGGCCGGCTCAGTCCATGGGTGGGCACAGGCAGCTGAACCATGAGAACAACGCACGGGGCAGGCCAGGCCAGAACTGAAGCCTCAGGGTTCGGTCACCCCTCATCACAGCTCCATCAGCGTGGGTGGGGATGGCGACAGCAGTGTGACACTTGGGTCTCCACCTCCCAGGGTCTGTCAGAGTGGGACAGGTCTCTTAAAGAAAGTATGAGCTCAGTGATGGCTGCACAGCAGCTGCCCAACACTGGGATACATTTTGGAAAAGCTGGTGAATGTCGCCTTCCTGCAGGAGCCTCTTAAGGGAATCCCCCTGCCCCCCAAATACAGGCAGGCGGCTGGCTCCAGAACAGATGCAGGAAAACGGTGAGGAGCCGGCAGGGACAGCGGAGGCAGAGCCAGGGGAAGGGCTCTCGGAAGCCCCCACGGCCAGCCCGCCAGGAGTCCGGCCTGTGGTGAGCAGCCCACCCCCGACCTCCGACAGCCAGCCGTGAGCGCTACCAAAAAGATTCTCTTGACAAAGGCAAAGTAAAGCAAAACTTTACGCGGCCTCTGGAAATAAATACTCTCTGGCACAGTCTCCGCAAAGGCCGCGGCCCTGCCACGGGGCGCGGCCGCCGCTACATGTCCAGCACCGCGGCCTCACCGCAGCCACGGCCTCCAGGGCGCGCCCTGGCCCTGCGGCCCCGGCCTGGGGGCAGCGGGGGGCGCCCCGGTCAGGCCTGGCAAGAACGGCAGCGCCATGGCGGCACCAGGGCGCAGCAGGGCCAAGGGGCCGTCGAACGCAGCCGGCGGCGGGCGGCCGGGGTGGACCTCGGGCGCCGGGGCCTCCGCGCTGGGCGGCGGGGCGGCGGGGCGGCGCAAGGGCCGCAGCTGGCCCAGGCAGGCCGCCAGGTGGCCGAGCAGGCGGGAGCGCACGTCGGCCGGGACGCCCTCGCAGCCCGCCAGGAAGCGGCGCACCTCCGCCAGGCACTCGTGGAAGCCAGCGCGGTACTTGCCTAGGACGGCGGGGTCGGCGCCGAGCGCGGCTGCGGGGGAGCAGGGCACAGGGGTCGGCGCCCGCGGCCGGGGGCGCGCCGCCGCCCCGCGCCGCCGCCCCCGCGCCTCACCTGCCGCGCGCCCGCGCCGCAAGCTCCGCAGGTGCCTCACGGTCATCTCCAGGACGTCCGCCTTCTCCAGCTTCGCGTGCCGGGGGCTCTGCGGGCGGGGCTGGTGTGGGCGGCCCGGCGGCGCCCCAGGCTCCGGGCCGCGCGCCGCGGACCCTCGCTCGCGCCCCTCGCCCAGACTTACGTCCTTCCGGAGGGCGTCCAGGATGAGGGTCTTCAGCTGGGCGAGGCTCTCGTTGATGCGCGCTCGGCGCCGCTTCTCCATGGCGGGCTTGGAGGACTGCGGGCCGGGCGGTGGCTGAGTCCCGCGCGCGTTCGTCCCGCCCCGAGCCTCCCGACCGTCGCCCGACCGGGTCCTCACCTTGCGGTGCTCGGCCGCGCTCCGGGGCCTGCTCGGCGTTCGGCTGGCGCTGGCCGGCGCGCCTGCCGGCGGCGAGGCCCTGGGCCTCCCCGAGGTGTCGGCGGGCATGGTGCGCCTCCGCGCCCCCCGGGCCAGGCGGAGCGCGCCGCCAGGGGCCGGGCGCGGGCTGGCGGGCTGGCGGCGGCGCTCGTCCTCCCGAGCGGGTGCCCGGCTCCAGGCCCGCGCGGGGCCCGCCGCTCGGCCCTTTAAGGCCGGGGCGCCGCGGGGTGTGTGAACCCGGCTGGGCCTTCGTTCCCACACTCGCGCCAGCCAATGAGCGGCCGCGCACCTCCCCCGCCCCCCGCGAGGCGCCGCCCCCTCCCGCTGTCAGTCACGCGCCGGCTCCCGGCCCAGCCGCGGAGCGGGCCACAAAGGCGAGCCGGACGGGGCGGCGGGAGGGTCGCCGTCCCCCTTCGCCGCCGCAGCGTTCCCGAGGCCGTGCAGACCCGCCAGGCTCCCCTTCCCGCAGAGCGGCCGGCGTGCGGGTGGGGTGCGAGTTCGCGGCGGGCAGCGCGGGAGACCCGAAAGGGAGATGGCCTGGGGACCGAGCCAAGCGCCCTCGGTCCGCACGCCTCCTGCCTCCCGCGCCCCCCGTGTTACCCGCCCCCTGCCGCGCGCTCTGCCTCCTGGGACACCCGCCGCCTGGGACAGCGCCACGCAAAGCCTGTGACACGGGTGGACGTGGGCAGGAGCGAGGTCGTCTGGTCCAGGTCATGAGGCAGGGTGGCGTCGCAGGACAATTAGATGATGGCATAGGGCCAGCGCGGGCGATACTGCAGGACAGGTAGTGATGTTACCAGTCAGGCACGATGACGTCATGGAACAGAATGTAAGGATGTCACTGGTCAGGCTGGCGATGTCACTAGATAATCAGAGGCGATGCCTCCGGGTGAAGGTGGGTGATGGTGATGTCAAAATGGGGAGATGTCACGGGACTGGTGACATCACACTCTTCTAGATTACTGACAGGGCACTAAGCACCTGCACAGTAGGGCGCACAGCAAATGAGGCACAACTGTTAATTTTTTTTTTTTCAAAGTAGCGGAGTGGGAGAAACAGAGCTATGCTTATTTTCTTGTTTGACATTGCTTCCAGTTTGAGTTACCTTGCAGAGGCACGAGTCTCTTGGGTACTCGGGGTCCCCAGCTCACCAGGGCCTGGTGGCCCTTTTGAATCCATCCCTCAGGCGTTCCAGAGGCCCGCGGTGGGCCCGACCTGCCCTGGGGGCCGGGGCAGCTCCTCCTCGGGTATCTAATCTGGTGTAGGAGACCAAGGCAAACAAAAGAATCACTCCTTTCTAAGTGAGGGAAAGAAAGGGGATTGTTGCCAGGGGAGGAAACCTTTCTCTGCACAGAGTGAAGTCTTTACAGCAGCTCTGCAAGGCCCCAGGGGGAGGGAGCGGCATTCCCAACATTGGAAAGGGGACACGGGGGCTGCAAGAAGACTGAGGGGAAGGGGCAGGCAGGTGCGTGGGGGCTTCGGGCTCCGGGAGAGTCCGGGAGAGCGTAGGCGCTCCTTCACTGAGCAAGGGAGAGAGCTGGCGGCGCTGTGAGGAGCTGCCCTTGGCTGCCATGGGTCTGCTAGTGGGTGTTGTGTTTAGCTGGCCTCTGCCCAACACTCACTCCTGGGGTCCCAGTCTGGGCCAGGTCCCCCAGCCTCCCACAGGGACCACCAGGCAGGGCTTCGTACTGGAAAGACAGGCCTGAGGAGCGGTGTCCTGGACTGTTCTTTCTCTCACTGGTGGTTAGATGGGTTTCCTTCCTTCCAGTACCGGTTTCTCACCAGAAAATAAATCAGAACTTTGAAAGCACCCAGCACACGGCAAGAACTGCTTGTGGGTTCCTGGCCGCTGTTTCTGCTCCAGAGAAGCAGGTGGGAGACAACAGGACAGAGAGGGAAGCTGCCTGTGCACCCCTGGACTGTCTGTCCCACAGGACCCCCCACACTCTGGGTGCCCTCAGGGTCGTCTTCAGGGGCCTGCAACAGAGGGAGGGGCCCCACCAGGGGTCTCCAGGAACCTCCCAGGCCTCAGCCCAGCAGGGAGCCCCCTCCAGGCCACAGCAAGGTGGGCCCTCCCAGGATCGTCACACCGTTCTTCGCACGGGGCTGGGCCCCACTGGCTCCAGGAGTGTGTCTCTTGGCCTGGTCCCTCCGACTCTCCCCCGCTGCCTTCACATCTAAACTTAATCTCTGGGGGAACCCTCGGGGCTCCCTTGCTCTGAGCAGGGAGGGCGGATTCTGGGCTGCAGTGGGAAATGGTGCCAAGATCCTTGGGAGGCAGATGTTATTTTCCAAAGACAGCCACACCACCTCCCACCCCACTTATCGGTACGGTGTGTCCTTGATGAGACTCTGTGACTTCAACCAGCAAGGACAGGGCAGTGGTGGATGTGATTTCTGAGGCCGGATCTTAAAAATGCCACACATGTCTACCTTGCTGTCTTGGGACACCCCCTCTCAGAAACCAGATGACACCTGTGGGGGAGCTCAAACTGGCCCCAGAAAGAGGCCAAGGGCAGGTCACATGGAAAGGACGCATGGGGAGGCCCCAAAGAAAGGCCTTGTGCAAGTGTTGCTGTCAGAGCCCGGTGGTGTTCTCAGCTGCCAGACCCGTGAGTGACATACCCCCAGATGATCCCAACCTGCAGCTTGTCCACACACCCACTTCATGTCTTCCCACCTGCCCCCACATGCTCAGTTTCAATTCTTGACTCACAGAGCAGGACAGTTGCTCACTATGACATTTTGGTGTTTGTTACACAGAAGTAGTAGCTGGAATAGCTTGGATGCACCAAGCCCTGGACCCAGGGCAAGTGGCCTTGTCCTCCAGCCCCCTTCCTTCCTGTCCTCATGTCCTTCTTTCTCCAGCAATTACAGAGGCACAGTGGCTTTGAGTGTCAGCTTTCCATCTGATGAGGTGCTTCCCAGAGCCATCAAAGGCCAGTTGTCCATCCTGGACCCAGAGCAGCCCTAGCCCCAGATGACTGGTGGTCTCAGGGCCATCTCCAGGGCCCACGGTTGGTCATGGGGAGTGGAGGGCAGGTCTGCGGCAGGATGACAGCCTGTCGGGGAGTCTGTGGGGAAAGACAGAGGCGTCTTCCAGGCCAGCCTTGGGTATGTGTGTGGGGGGTCCTCCTCCCCTCTCGCCACTACATGACAGCATACTACAGGACAACCTTCGTTCAGTGTCCCTTGGGGGCCTACCAAGTGCTGTCTGGGCATGCTGGCTCCCAACCTCTGATGTGGAAGCAGTAGCTGCATTCTCATCCCACCCCTCAACTTCCCACCGGCACAGGGGATCCAGAATATCAGGGACACTAGGGAGTGGGAACTGGGCGCCGAGTCATTTGTCAGCCATTTGCTGGAATCCATAGGTGGCAGAGGCAGGGCTGAAGGAATCCGGGATGCAGAATAGAGACAGGGAAACAGACGGCCAGGACCCAGGCAAGGCCGACAGGGCCAAGCTGCTGATGCCACCACCCCCAGGGGCAGGGGGGTGCCCTCCACCTTCACAGCCCATGGGAGCAACACATCTTCCTTCAGCCACCGCAACAGTGGGCAGCAAGAGCATCTCACCACGGCTTGGTGTAGTCAACGTCTTTCTCCATCTGGGAAGTCATATCCTCCCAACTTCTGGATAGGGACCAAATCTCCCCACTGTCTGCCTGGTCGCCTCTGTTCTTGTGACCGCGGTGCCTGCACAGCCTCACCCCAAGGCTCACGCTCCTAGGCACTTCCCAGCCCTGCAGCCGGCACCCTCAACTCTTTCAGTCCCACTGTGACACACTTCCCTGCCAGGCTGAGTGTTTGCCTCGCCCACCCTCCCTCCTCTGGCCCATCACACTCCCTCGGAACCTGCGTGAGACCCGCACTATCCTGCGGCTCAGCGACAGCCTGTCTCTTCTTTCTCATAGTGGGTGCGGCTGGGTGGTGCTGGGGGCTCCCCAGGGGCCTCACCCATGCAGCTGCCATCAGCCAAGGCCAGCCAGCCTGGAGGCACCACAGTGGAGCCCTCTGTGCACACCTGGGCTGTGTCACTGGGCTGTGTGGCTTCCTCCCCCGCAAGCTGGATCAGCTTCATCACATGGCTTGGCCAACATTGCAGGAGGGTGAAGGACATTCCTGGTCTCTGGACTGTGGACCTCAGGTGGCCCTGACTCTGTCCAGGCATCAACAAAAGCCCTGGTGGACTCCTAGCCTACTCCTGGAAAACCCTTTCACACCTGGGTCTCTCCGGAAACCCCAGTGCTGCCTCCGTCCCGCTCTTGTCTGATCCGATGGTAAGGATGTGGAGGCCTGTAGGCCAGGACTTCTGCCAGGGTGAGCCCCTCACTCTGGTGCTCCCTGCACTGGGCAGGCGCCTGGGCCCTCCCGCCCCCCATCCCGACCCCTTGATGCCTCTCTATGGGATAATTTCATGACGCTGCTCATGTCAGAGAAGCATGGCACGCCATTGCTCACCCTGACCCCTGCCTTTGCACTCCGTCTACTGCTCACTGTCGTGCAGAACAGGCCGCCCACCGTGGGGACCAGCACCTCCCCTCCCCTCTCTAGCCAGGTGCCTGCCCTGACTGCATGGAGACTGCCCTCCTCGGGGTCACCAGGATGTCCCTGTGGCTGGCCGAGGTGACCGAGGCAGCTGCTGCAGGAATGCGGCCCTCCCTGGCTTCTCTGGCGAGTTGACCTCTGTTCCCCTCACCTTGCCACCCCTCCCTGGCTTCTCTGATTTCCTCTTGTCTCCTCACCCTCTAGCTCCGACCTTGGCCCTCCTGTCACGTCTACACCGACTCCCTCCCACCTGACCACTTGCTCTCCCATGGCTCCAATCCACCACCACCTGTGGCCTGGGTTTTTGTGTAAGCTCCTGACCAATCTCCAGCTTCTGTGCCGAGCTGTGGCCTTGGCCCTGTCACAGCGGCTGTGATGCCCCGTTGGGCCTGAGCTGGGTCAGGCCACTGGGCTTGGTGGCCATCTGTTCGCCTACACTTCTCCACGCCCACCCGCCATTCCCGAGGTCTTCACACAAAGGCCACTCTGGTGTCTCCTCCTCTGCCTCCCCATCGGGATGTGCGTCCCCCTCTCGGGCTTTGCCGTTCCTCCTCAAGCTTTCTCTGGTGGCACGTGCCTTCTGCCCCCATTTCTCTCTTGCACCGGCGTCCACAGCACTGGGAGGTGAGCTCCGTGCTGCCGGGCAGTGCTCCTGGCGTGCCGTGTGCACTCTGTAAAGACGTGACCAGGAGAATGAGTGACAGAGATGGCG